GAGAGAAGTCAAATGTCACACATAGGCCATGAAAACTTCAAAAGCCAGAAGACCTTGGAGTAATGTGCCTTATGTCTTAAAGGACTAAAGATGCCAGCCCAGACTAATTATTTATCCAGCATAACTGTCTGCTATAGTTAAAGGAGAAAGAAATAGAAAGAAAAATGTCCTATATTGTAAACAAAATAAAGGAATTCATAGCCACTAAACCAGTCACTCAGAGAATACTGAATATATATATATATATGTTCACTTACATATATTCATATACAATATATATTTAGTATATGTGTGTGTGTGTGTGTGTGTGTGTGTGTGTGTGTGTGTGTGTTTAATTGTATTTACTCCGTATGGGGGCTTAATGCTCATCTCAGGAACCATAGACCAGTCAACAAAAAGCCCAGTCCCAGGCACAGGCTATCTGCTTTTAAGTTATTGTCTGTGGGTAGGATTAGGTGGCCCCAAAGACCCTAGAAAATAATAAAAACTATTGCCGTTTTACTCGGTTGCCCACAAGTACTTGATGGTAAGACTCTATTGACTGAAACACCACACAGTATGGTCACAGGACTTGGAGAAATCAAGCTGGTACTGAACTAGAAGTCTCCTCCCTGATGGTCATTGTTCACATTCCATGAGGTGTCAGGCATGCTGACAGGAGAAATAAGGCACAGATGAGTGTTTCTCAGCTGTGAACCACATTACCAACCTGCCTGGTAAGACATGCCCATTTGTACAGTAGTGGTATGAATGTCTTGGGACATAATCAACAGTGATCAGTTGGATTTAAGACTAGCTCAACAGTTTCATAAACCAGGCCAAGAATCTGTGGCTAGAGAGGCCATAGACCTTAGAAGAGATCCTACAATTACCATTTTGCCAAATTGATATCATATCTGTCTTTCAAATGCTTGGACTCATAGATTAGTCCAGCTCACACCCCTCATTAAGAAGCTTCCTTTGGCAGTGAATAGAGACCAATACAGAAGACCACAGAGGATGAGTTGCAGAGTGCTCATCCTGACAGAACATTTTTATCACTTCCTCTTCCGGCAGGGCTCAGGGAACACTGGAGGAGGAAGTGGAAAGATTGTTATGAGCCAGAGGTCAGGAAGAACAGTTGCACAATACTTTGTTCTGGACACCACAGGCAGTTGCACTCCTGAACTCTCCACAGCTGTGGATGCTGCCTAAGACCTGCAGAGCATTCATCTAGTCTGTGTTCTGGCAGGGATGGTGGAGCTCACACAGCCCCATTTCTCCCTCAGAGGCTAAAGGCAGCTAGTGGCAACTAGGGGAGAGCAAGTCAGTTTTCTTCTAGGCTGGGGGACTTGGTGGGTTGTTCATGCTACAGTGAACAGCCTTTTACCCATGTGTGTGTGGGTAACTGTAACTGGACTCAGTATGTCATACATGTTTTCATATGTGTATATTTGTGTATGTGTATGGTCAGAGAGAGAACATGAGGATGGGAGAAAGACATGACATGGGAAACCCAAGAGGAATTGGAGGTGGAGTAAGGGCTGGATTTGATATGAATAAAATGCATTTATGTATGAAGGGAAATTTCTTTTTTTAAACCATTTAAACAAATTAAAGGCATGTCTGACGTTTAATCCAGTTCTACAAAAGACAGAAGACCCTTGGAGAAATACTTCAGACTGAAGGAAAACATACCAAAGAGGTTAACAGGGAAAAAAAGCAATACCAGGATAGCTCATCAAAAGAAGTCTAAGAGAACACCACACATTCATCAAAGTAGCCAGAATTAATACACAACTTTCAGTATTAACTCTGAATATGAATGAGCTCAGTTCCCCAATTAGAAAACACAGACTAACAGATTGGAGTAGAAAACAGATTCCATTTGCTGTCCCCAAGAAACACACCTCATCATCAGTGACAGACACAGCCATAGAGCGCAAGGACAGAAGAAGATATTCTAAGCAAATGGAACCAGGAAACCAGCGGGCATTGTTATTCTAATATTTGATGAAATAGATTCCAAACCATAACTAGTCAGAAGAGATAAAGAACACCACTTCATATACATTAAGGAAATAACCCATCAAGAAAATATCATAATATTAAATAAATATACACCAAACACATGTGTATCCAATTTTTTAAAACAAATACTACTAGCTATAATACAACAAATTAACCCAAACACAGTAACTGGGGGGACTTCCATACTCCACTTTCACCAATAGCCAGAACATCAAAACAAAAATTGAACAGGCAAACATTATATGACTTCATTAATCAATTAAATTTAGTTGCATAGATTCTCAGTAAAACACTTGAAAACTGAATCCTAAAAGATACCAAAAGGGATTATTTAACATAGCATAGAGAAGCTAGATGTAAGTATGCACAATGATAGCTATCTGTTTTTGTTTTTGTTTCTGTTTGTTTACACAGAAGCAAAAATAATATATACACTGGAGAAAAAGAGCATCTTTAACAAATGATATCCAATAACCTGTATATCAACATGTAGAAATAATAAAACTGGATTCTTATATCTCATCCTGCAGAGATATCTACAGAACATTCACCCAAACACACAAAAAAAGGGAATCTTCTATTTTAGACCATATTTTAGGATGCAAATAAACCCTTAACAAATGCAGGCAAACTGAAGTAACATCCTGAATTCTATCTGACCAAGATGGAGTAAAGTTGGATATCTGCCCCAATAGAAACTACAGAGGTACACAGACTAACAAAACACTACTGAATAGGAAACAGGTCACTGAAGACAGCAGGAAGGAAATAAAAAAAAAATTCCTAGAATTGAATGAAAATAAAAATACTCAGATCTATCAACCACAATGAAGGCAGTTATAAGAGGAAATTTGTAATGCTAAACACCTACATCAAAAACAAAACAAAACAAACACAGAAATGAGAAACCCCCAACAGACAATGTAAGGGTGTACCTTAACTCCTTGGAAAAACAAGAACAAACCAAACTCAAAAGTAATAGACAAGGAGAGATCATCAAGATCAGGGCAGAATTGAAAGAAACAACAGCAGCAAAAATGTATAGAACCAGTGCAAACCAAGAGTGGTTCTTTGAAAAGGTAAGTAAGATGGGCAAACACTTGGATAACTTAACCAAAAGAAAGTAAGCCAGCACCCACATTGATGCAATTAGGTGAAAAGGAAGGTATTACAACAGATGCTGATGGATGAAATGTAAAAATCTACATTCTATTAGGTTGAAAAATGTAAGGAAATAGTTGGATTTATAGGTGCATATGGCCTATTAAAATTGAACCAAGACGACATAAATAATTTAAACGGACCTGTAACCATCAATGAGATTGAAGCAGTAATAAAACTCTCCTAACCCAAAACAAAACAAAGTCCCCAAAGAAAACAACAAACAAACCAACAAACAACAACCCAGGACAAGGTAGATAGATGCACCGCAGAATTCTACTAGGTCTTCAAAGAAGAAAGCACATCAATAGTATTTAAATTATTCTACAAAATAGAACAGGAATTAATACTGTGAAACTCATTTTACAAAGACGTCATTACCTCATACAAAGCCCACAAAGGTAGACAATGCTGGCACCAGGTGTAACAGGTCACTGAACAAAACTACAGTGCCAGTGAAGAGATGCCTCCGCAGGAAGTATGGATCAGGGGCCTCCAAAATAATTCAGCCTCCTGCCATTGCCCTTAGTTATCCACCAGGACCGGATGGTAAAACCCTGTTATCAAGGACATCACCCATCTTGGATGCATGTTACAGTGGAATCTAGCTAGAACTGTGATGGAAGCTCCTCACCGCTGGCTACCATTCAAAGCATCAGGGGTGCTATGCAGGTTGCCGTGGGGGTGGGGCTGCAGCATCCGTGGTGTGGTCTTACCCAGCTGTGAACTCTAGCACTGCAATGCTAACCTGCCAGATATGATGAGTCCATTGGTGCAACAACAGCATAACCTCTGTGGGAGTCAACAACTTCTTATTGATTAGATTTGAGGCCTTCTCTGTAAGAAGTAATCCATGCTTAATACGGATAACCCCACCCAAACCCCACAACTGAAAGGTCTTGGGCCCTAGAGGGGAACCTAATACTGCTGCTTAACTGAATTGACATAGCAACAAACCACTTCCTAAATGTGTTTGCCTTTTAATGTATGTGTAAGAATGTTTGGCCTACATGTGTGTCAGTATAGCATGTGAATGCCTGTGCGCACAGAAGAAAGCTCTGGAGCTCCTGGAACTGGAGTTACGGATAGTTATGAGCTACCCTGTGGGTACTGGGAATCAAACCTGGGTCCCCTGGGAGAGCAGTAAATGCTCCTAAACTTCTGAAATGTCTCTCCAGCTCCTAAGTACCTATGTTTATACCCAGAGACAACCATACCTTCAGCTTTAATCAGAAAAGCATCCCTGAACAGAGGTGAATTCGGAGACCCATGGCTGCACAAGCTGCTGAGAATAAGGGAAAGCTGAGGGTTCGTCCTGACAAAGACGATGACTCCAACCCCTTAAAGCTCAAGGAACATTTGGAAGAGGAGGCAGAAGGAACATAAGAATTGAAAGGTAGGGAGAAGGCTGCAAAATGCCAGCTTTTAAGTACAGGTCATGGCGGTGGGTAATGCATAACAGCTGTGTCTCCAGGCAGTGGGCCCATGTAAGCCAGGCTCACTAACTGTCAGCTATGGATGAGGAAGGGCTTCCCTGGGCCCTATATTTCACTGCTGATATTTTGACAAATAACAGATTCTGGGAGAAGGAAAGGCATAGTATTTAGTTGTATGTCCACACGTTTGGTTGCGGCACCACTAGGCTTTGACGGTTAGTTCCAAATCCAGGATCATACAGTACGTCCTTTTAAAGTGTGTGGGACACTAACCAAACAAAACTAATGATATGGGAAAGAGGTTTGTGAGGGAGAAGCAGGGCTGGCAGAGGGGAGAAGGAAATAAAAGGTACCAGGGAAAATAACCAGAATGCATTACACACATGCAAGAAATTATAAGAGATCAAACTTATTAATAAAAGGAGGGAGGAAATAGGCACAGTGAGATGTTTGAAGCTACCTTCTTATGTACTAAATGATCTCTACACTTGGCAGTGAAGGAGTTTGATGATGCAGTTGTAGATCCAGACAAAGTTACAAAAGGCAAGGAGATTGTACAACAGCTACAAATTCGTGAGCACTGTACAGCATGTTTAGCTTAAGCAGTTTTGTTTCATAACTGTTATTTTTAAACAGTGTAGCCCCACTTAGATCAACACCCACAGGTACACTTGATTTCCCTAATCCCAACCTCATGTAGACCAAGTTGGCCTCAGTCTCTTGGTGAGACTGATGTAGAAGGATCAGGGTCTGAGGCTAACCTGGTCTACATGAGTTTGAGGCTAGCAAGGCTGTCTCATGACAAAACAAAACACAACAGTGCACTGCAGGCCTGGCCCTCAGAGACTTGCATCAGGCCCCACTTTGTTGTGTAGGTTTGAGCCTCGACTTCCTGAGGAACCAGAAATGTCATCGGATAGACACTAATGTTCATTTCAAATATTTGCCTGTTGTTGGTTTTTTGCTCTTTTGGGTGGCCCACTACCCAGCTCCCAAATAATTCACTCACGGAGGCTTATTCTTGCTTATTAATGCCCACCCTTAGCTTGGCTTAGTTTCTAGCCAGCTTTCCTTCTCTTAAATTATCCGTCTACCTTTTGCCTCTGGGCTTTTCCTGTTCTCTTTTCCGTAAATCATACTCTTACTCTGTGGCTTGCTGGTTGTGTAGCTGGGTGGCTTGCCCCTGATGTCCTTCCCTTCTCTGGCTCCTTCTCCTTTTCAATTCCCCTTCCCAGATTTCTCTTTCTATTTATTCTCTCTGCCTGCCAGCCCCACCTATCTCTCTCTCCTGCTTTGCTATTGGCTCTTCAGTTCTTTATTAGACCAGTTAGATGTTTTAGACAGGCACAGTAACACAGTTTCACCGAGTTAAACAAATGCAATATAAACAAAAGTAATACACCTTAAAATAAAATTCTACTACATTTGCCCTTGTGGATGATCTTATATCCTGTGGTAGATTCAGAGAGGGAGAGAAACACCACCCTATGGTTGAATCATGATCCCTGCCATTTATTAATGTATAAGCTATTTGAATTTTCTGTCCTGCAAAAAAATATATATACTTAGTTTCTAAATCTTTTCAGTTGGAAAATAATGTATAAACATTTGAGAGGCATTGTAGAGATTGAATGGGAAAATGTATGTGGGGTGGTGGTGTTCTTGATCATGCAGCCTGGAGCAGCAAGGTCAAGTCAGGACTTAAGTTCCATGACATACAAATCACAGAAACACAGATGCCCTTAAAATTCTTCGTCAGCTTTCAGCGTGTGACTGTCTGCCCCAGGAAGCCACTTCTTTCCGGGTAACAAACCAGGCTCAATCCAGGAGAGTGACTCCAAGTGAAGCCTCTTCTTTTGGTGTGATAGGAGTCTGAAATAAGCATTTTAATTAGATTCATTAAGACAGTTATTACTTGATAATTGAATAGCAACAGATTGCAAACGAACACTTACCGAGGTCTAATAAGTATGTAGGAGAGAGATCTTCTCCTTCCGTAATTCCATCAGCTGTAAACCAGTGTAATTGGAGTCTTACTAACACATTCAAATTGAAGGGAATGTTGAGGCATATAATTGACACTTAGAAGAAACCTGCTTTTCGTTAAGGTGCTTCCATTTTCATACTTATTAAGTATCTCTTTAAGCTCTTAAATAATTGAGATGAGTGGACAGCAGTAGGTCAAGTGGGTAAGCAAAAATTAAATTCTTAAACAAGTTAATAAATTAGGGAAAGATACATTTAAAATATGAAATATTACTTCATTCTATCCACAACTTTACATTGCTACAAGGAATAATTCAAAACTGCCCATGAAAGAGCTTGAGCCACTGAATTGATTCTGTCAAAGACAATGGATTCATTGATTCATTTGTTTGTAAACATCACTTGAGCAACTACTAGTCACACAGACAAAACATGCTGCTTACCAACAGTTTGATGATGATGATGAGCTAGTGATACCAGAAAACCCTACAGTTTGTTTCAGAATTAAAGCATGCCTGCAGAGCAAAAACAGAAAAATAAGATTCCTTACTCAGTCTTGGGCAGGACAGAGTCCTCTTTTGAATTCTAATTTAGACCAGTAGTACAACTATACACCTGCATCTCTGAAATCAGAGTACAGACTTCAGAGGCAGTGGCATATTTTAATATCTTCAGTTCAATGACTGCCAGATTCTACATGTTCAGGAAGAAAAATTTTAAGTGCTTAAAAATCTTAGGTAACCTTTTGTAATGAAAATATTTTTTAAAAAATTTCCTTTAATGGCATTATATTAATAAACAATGAGAATTTGGACAATCTGTCTTTTATAGAAACTGATAGTAAGAAAAGAAGAAATTTTATCTATCTATCTATCTATCTATCTCTCTCTCTATCTATCTATCTATTATCTATCTATCATCTGTCTGTGCATCTGTCTGTCTGTCTGTCCGTCCGTCCGTCCATCCATCTATCTGTCTGCCTGTCTCTCTATGTAACTGCTTATCTAATGGGTGAAGGCTGAGTAAGTCTAACACAGATAGAAGTGAAATTTTATGCAGGTTTTCCGTCTCTATCAGAGAAAGAATACATAAAGGAAGCAGAACAAATAATCAGGAGGAAGTTTTTTTTACAGGGCAAAGGCATAGATGTGAGGGGTGAATGTCCTTCTTAAAGCACAAGGGAGTGTTGGGTGTTGGGCTTCATAGACAAACTTTGACAGAGAAGAGTATAATCCATGAGATAGATAGATAGAATGGGTGAGAGATTCCAGGAATAGGTCAGACTTCCACACAGTAAGGTTCATTCCTTTTTACCTACCCTTTGAGTGTGCCATAGAGGCAGATGCATGATGGGAAAAGATAGTTTTCCCAGGTAATGATAAGGACAGGCCCTTGTAAAGAAGCACAGAACAGAGTCTATCAGTCTGCCATGTTTTTGATGGGTTTTGTGAAATGAAGCCTAGCAATTGAAGATTGAAGTTTGCTTATTTTTCCTACGCCGTGTGTTTGTGTGTGTGTGTGTGTGTGTGTGTGTGTGTGTGTGTGTGTGTGTGTGTGTGGTGTTTTGACTATAAGAACCTATCCACATCTAACCCTAAAAATCCCCAGAGAAACACAGGACAGTAAAAGCTAAATTGTGCACGTGCATGGTTGTTGCTAATGGTTCAATCTCTATTTATAACACAAATTCATAAGGTATCTTGCCTTCTATTAAAATAGTGCTTTTGTTACAAAAGCCCCTAGGAAGCAAAGATGAAAACCACTACTTTGCCTCCCTTCATGCTCACATCCAAAAGCAGGACTAAATAGCATCTAACTTTGATAGATCACTAGTGGTAAACTTAGCCAGGATATGTACAAGTTTGTAAATGTTTTTATTGATGTGACATTTTTCTCTCTGCTTGCTTTTTAGCTCCCTGCATGTGCTGAGGAGGACAGAGGGGAAGAGAAAACGCCTTCCCCACTATTCTGGTATCACTTTGACTTTATTCTCAAAGCCCTGGTCATGCCAGTCTTGTTCTTACAAATCCAACCCCGTGTCTAGGAGGCCAGCCTCCTCCTTCTTCTCTTTGTCAGGGATACCATTGTCTCCCTAGTTTCATCCTCGCTGTCACAGACCTGCATCTGACACTCCCTTTCCCCTGTCTGGGAGAAATGGATGTCACTAAGCTTCATCGCCTTTCTGCTGTGGCATCTCTAAAACGCCATCTCAGCTCCTGCCTCTAAATCCTTCCCCCATGCTTTTATCCATGTGAAGACATACAATGGGCAGATGTGATAAACTGGGGATTTATCAAGAATCTGAGAGAATCTCTTGACCACAAAACACTGGGAAACTCCTTTAAGTTACCCTGTGGTGAGTTTAAGAATGCCAAATGGCCCAGCACTCGGGGGAGGCAGAGCCAGGCAGAACTCTGTGAGTTCGAGGCCAGCCTGGTCTACAGATCAAGATCCAGGGCAGGCACCAAAACTACACAGAGAAACCCTGTCTTGAAAACCAAACAAACAAACAAACAAAAAACCAACAATGCCCAATGGTCAGCCCTGAAAACATACATACATGTAATATTATAGGGACTGAATGGGTTCTATTTAGGAATATGTCCGTATATACATGTACATGTATCCATGCAGTAACAATTAGTGAAAAATGGGGTCATGAATTTGAAGGGGAGTAGGCAGGGGTGTATGGGAGGGTTTGGAAGGAGGAAAGGGGAGGGAGAAATGATGTAATTATACAACCTTTAACAGCAAACATCCGAACTCCCAGGACCCCTGACTTTGCCTGCGGGTTGGTCTTATCCTTTGAATTGCTCTTCGGTTCTCACCAGGATCCCCGTTCAGCTTACCTCTGCCTCTCTTATTTCCCCTCAACCAAGTAAATGAATTTCTGTACTGCTGATAGCATCTCTGTCTGGAAAAAAAAACCCACGACCTTTTTCTTTTACTCACACACCGCAATCAACACAAAAGTCATCCGTGGCCTCAAAAGGTGTGAGGATCCCTCCCTTCCAGAAAGCAAGCAACTCTGCATCAGCAGAACTGGGGTGTCCCTCTGCTGCATTCTGTCTGGACTGAGGGGTTGAGGACCCTAACTGCCCACACCGCAGGCCTAGGCATAAGTCTGGGTCTCTGGAACTGCTGGCCAATCAGCTACAGATTAAGGACCCGTAGCCCCAAGTTTGATGAATTTGCAGGAGTGGCCCACAGAACTCAAGGAAACACTGTGCTTCTGGTTCTTAACTTTCCGTAAAGAGTATCAATGAAACTGGCAGATGATGAGGCAGCCGGGGTGAAGTATAGGGTTCGGAGCACAGGCACTATAGCCATGTCCTCAGGGAACTCCAGCTCCCTGTGGTGGAGGAGTCTCATCTGACTTTCTGTAAAAGCCACACACTCAGTAGTTGTCTCGGAGCTGGAAAAGCCTGTCCTTCTGCATTTTATGGAGGTTTTATCGCATACCAGCTGCTGACGAGGAGACTTGGGAAAGTGGGCAAAGCCTGTTTGCCTCCAGCTGTCTTCTTATCTTCTCTGAGCGGCATTCCTTCCCTCAGGGTATGGACAGAAAGTTTCTGGAATCCTAGGGTCACAAGATCTGCCCAGTGTCACAAGATCTATCTGTCAAGGGTAGGTGACAGAATTTCTTTGTGGCCAGTTCAGAGGCAGACTGGAGGCAAGATTAGAATTTGGTTGACCTCCCTTGCGAAAGAGAAGCTCTGTCCTATTGTGTGCCTCGGGGAATAGGGGTTACACCAGGAACCCTACCCCTCCACTACATATGATGTCACATACCTTTGAAACAGTCGTCCAATGACCATTTCAATGACGCTGCCCTTCATTAAGCACTCCTTACTCAGCAGACACTGCTATAATCCCACTGTATGGCAGTATTTTGTTTAATCCCACTACAGCTGTACAAGGCAGTTACCGTGATTTCCCTGTTTCTGAATTGGACAAATAAGGTCTGGTTTAAAGACCTTGCCGAAGGTCACATGAGAATGAAATCTGGTTTTACTCTGGGAACTGACACCAGAGGCTGCAATTTACAGTCAAAGCATTAAGGAGCCACTTGATTGAATGTAAGTTTGTTTCTATAGAGTGGACATTTTGCTGGTCACCCATTCCATATTCAACCCTTCCCCTTCTTAAAATTACATCGTTTATCCATTCATTTGTGTGTGTGTGTGTGTGTGTGTGTGTGTGTGTGTGTGTGTGTGTGTGTGTGTGTGCGTGCGCGCGCACACACACACACACACACACACACACGTACAGGGGCATATATGCCAAGGCATGCACTCATACTCACCTTGGCATATACTCTTGTACTCACCAGTTAGGCTAGGCTGGCTGTCCAGCAACCCTCTGGCATCCTCCTACCTCTGCCTCCAAAGCACCAGGAATGGAAGCAGGCACCATTGCAACTACATTTCCCTGGGGCTCTGGGGTGGGTTCAAGCTCAGGCCATCACACTTGCACGGGGAAGCACATTGCTGACAGCTGTCCCCCAGCTCCTTGACCTGGGAGGTTTTTGAACACCCCTGTTCCTAGGACTCTCCAGGTTAACATCTGTCATCTTGATATAATTATTGGAAGTGCCTCATTTCCCACTCACTATCCCATTTATGAGAATCAATTATATAGTCATCCTAATTTTCCTATAACTTGAAACACATCCCGACTAACCCATTCAATTCTTCCTTGGTCTAACTCGATTTCTTCTTGAGCTTTTAGCAAATATCCTGCAACTTGAAATGAAGGAACCAGAAAAGATAAGACCTCCTAATAGATGCGATGAGGTAACTTTGACACATCACGTTTGTAAATGCATCTTGCTTTTGCCAAGCTAAGTAAAGTTCTTTGGGGGCCTGGATCAAATAAAAATGCCATTTGGGGATGTCAGCTTCTCTAGCAAGCACCTGCATAACCCACACCGAAACTTAGCTGATTACTGCTCACAAACATCAATGCCAAGCATTTAGGAGCATCTTACCCACATTCATTTTGTCAGCAGGTAAAGATTATGCTGTTTCTTGCTGCTTAATAAACAGCCAAATGCATCCCTTAGAATAGAAACAACCACGCATGGCTGAGCACCATATTGATGCCCTCAGCACAGAACATCCATGCACACCCTGGGATCCAGGCTGAAAAGGTGTTCTTGGCATCCCACTCAGAGTTGGAGCTGTGTGCTGGGTCTAACTACAGGTCCCACCTAGCGATGCTAATTTTAGCTGGGCAAAAGAAAGAGAAAACAAGGAGAAAATGGCCCGAAGGGAGATTAATAATTGGGAACTGTGAATCTGTATCCTGAAAGGCAGCATGGTGTTGAGGACATGAGCCCTGGGGAAGAGAAGAAGAATGATTGAGAGAAAAAGCAGGGAAGGATTAAAGTGGGTAAAGTGTGGCATCGTTACTTGAATTCTTACTGCCCTTGGGCTCCTCTTCCTTTCTAAGTCTGGGAAGAACAATTTCATAAAGATTTACTTGTTTTCTCCAGCAGAATCCTCATCTCCCTACCCAGTTTTAACTTTAAAATCGCAGTCATCTGCAAAATAAAAATACAAATTAAAAAAAAAAATCACAGTCATGACAACCAGAAAAGTTTGTGTAACAGTGTACCCTGGATGGGCAGAGGACAGGTCTATTATCTTGAGTTGACAGCTGCATATGAAATAGTTCTGACTGCTGGAGCGAAGCTTGAAACTCCTCTGCCAGCCCAGCGGCTCCCACGGGAAGCACAGGTCCAGGGTCCTGATGTCTGAATCTGAGGGACATGCCAACTGAAGTGTCCTGATAAAGAACAGGACTGACAAGTAAAAAAACAAATCACTCCCCCAAATTAACCAGACACAAAGTCTATACATTGTAGTGAACTTCTATACATTAGAATTGGCATTCAGAACAGACGCTGTGAAAGTTCACATTAAATTTTTACGCTTTCAGCATCCAATATATTTTATGGACTTATTCACCACCCCAAACAAGAAGGCCCATGACAGAGCTAAAACTAAAAAAAAATTAGCTTTATTTATCTTTAATGTATTACTTATTGTTGTTATTATGGCTTTAGTTTTTATTTATTTGCAAGTTTTTTTTTAATAATAAAGTTTATAGAAAAAATAAAAAAAGAATAGGCTGAGGTTTTGAAAAGCAGTGTAAGATACAGAGGCTCCTATAGGAATTGTCCTTCTTCAGGGTTCCGGGGTGACTCCTCTATAAGAAACATCCTAAAACTTGGCAAACAGAAACAACCATTATCTATAGGTCAAGAATTGGGTTTCTTTTCTATGGGTCAATAGCTGGCTGTGGATTGAATGGGGTCTCTTGGTGGTAACTCAGCTGGTGACTGGGCTGGACGGAAGGTGACAGAAAATTGGGGCCCTGGCAGATTCATTCATTTCCCCATGACAAAGTATCCAGTAGCAGCAGCTTAATGAAGGAGGCACTTATCTGGGCTCTCAGGGTCATGATGGGAAAGCATGGTGCTGCTCAGGGCAGCGGGAGAGACATGCCCACAATGATGGGAGTGGGATGTGGCTTGCTCACATGTTAGTGTAGTGGTTCTCAACCCTGTGGGTCGCAACCCCTTTGGGGGTCGAATGACCCTTTCACAGAGGTCATCTAAGACCATTGGAAAACACAGATATTTATATTATGGTTCATAACAGTAGCAAAGTTACAGTTATGAAGTGGCAATGAAAATAATGTCATAGTTGGGGGTCACCATACGAGGAACTGTATTAAAGGGTTACAGCATTAGGGAGGTTGAGAACCACTGTCTCAGTGAATCAGGAAACAGCTTGAACCAGAGGGGAAGTGCCCCCAACACGGAAGTTCTGCCACGTAGGCACTATTTCTGCCAGGTAAGTCCCATGCTCAAAAGGCTCCACGATCTTCCAAATTAGCATCACTACCTGGAGACTAGTGTTAAAACATATGACACTTCACTTTTAAACCACAGTAGCAGAGATGGCCAGAAGGCTGGTCTCAGCAATGCCCACTTCCCTTCCCTGCACTCTTAGCTGGGGAGTATTGGACTTCTTACATGACACAGCCAGTTCTGCTGAAGGCCAGACCCAAACATGGCAGAGACCACTTCCACACCGAGTGGTTCACTCACCAGCCAGCCCATATTCACGGCAAGCCTGCCGACAAGTTTACCACCATCTCCAGTCTGCCCACATCCAGGTACCCTAACAACGGAGAAGGGAGTAAGTGCGCATGCATCAGAGTTAAGACCTCTCAAATCTTAAGGACTGTCCCTGCACCAGGACTTGGGAATCCCCCTTTTGAAGTTGGAAATGAAATCATTTCCTCCTTGCCTCTCCAATGTTACCACAAGCAGGACAGAAGCAGCGCTTTGGCTCTTGCTCAGGTGAAGGCAGTGCCTGCCTGGTGTTGTAATGAGGTAAGTGGATAGCCAGCGGGTTACAGACCCAGGCTCACACTTAGCATATGAGGAGGAAAAGCTGGATCACTAACTGCACAGACCCAAGCTGAGTTTCCACAGGAAATCCTGCCTTTCATCTCAACCACCGGCTCCACCCTCCTCTTCCGACTTGCAAGAGTGGTCACAGGCTAGATCTTCTAGCAGACAGGCCCAGACAGCTTTCGTGATTTATTGGCCCTGAGAACAGCTGGTTTTCAGTTCATTCAGAATTCAGGCACCAGTCACACAGAGAAGGTCCACATCCTAAAATCAGAGTCCCCTCTCCTTAGAAACGTCAGATGGCTTTGCAAGGTCTCCATAAAACATAGAGCACAAGACTGAAAGGCAAAAGAGATATGAGTGAGGCCAATTACCTTGTGAGGTGCGGAGTGGGGTGCTCAACTAAATATAAGCCGTGGAGATTGGGCATTAAAAGTCTCTCTGTGAGCTCATGAGATGGCTGGGCAGGTAGAAGCTCTTGCCACCAGGCCTGACAACTTCAGTTGGGTCCCTGGAAACCACACGGTAAAGCGAGAGAGAGAACTGATTACCTCAAGCTGTCTTCTGACTTTTGCATGTATGCTGTGCCGTGCACACTTAACACACACACATGCACACACGCACAATGGTGATAATAGTAACAATAATAAGTACAATAAATCCATTTAAAATTCTCGCTCACTGGCTGGAGTCTGCAACGAGTATGTTCAGCAGCTACGATTTTATTTACTGAGGTGAAGAAGAGTTAAAATATCGCCTTTTGCGGGTGCGTGGTTTAGCAAGGGAAAGGCGAACACAAGTGGGGAGCACTGTAAGCCGTCTCCTTCCTTCCGCTCCTCCCTGGGCTCCTTTCAGCCCCACAGGGGAGTGGGAACACACAGTCCTCCAGTTAGGAGGCATTTGTAGCCGTCCCAGGGGCATCTCCGAAACAGTCCCCCTTCTTACTGTAAACGGCTGAGAAACCTTAGAGTTCCTCTCTCCCCTGGGTTGTAAGTTTTTAAATTGTAAGCATGAAACTTGAAAGGAATGAAAATTTGTAGCCGTCTCTTGCGAGTGCCCTCTTTTGGCTTATTTCTGAGAAATATGAATGCGGTATTTCACCGCGATTGGTGCTGTCTGAAGGGAGACCCACTGAAGGAGAAGGCTGTTTGAAAGGGAAGCTTGTTTTCAACTTCAGCTTGGATTGTGATGTAACTCAACTGTTCCTTACGACGGGGAAAGGGCTGTTAATGTTTGTGGTGAATTCCAGCGTACACGGTGATGCTGTGGGTGTTTCTTTATATTCTTTCCATTTTCCTTTCTTGAAATAGGACAAGGTCCCTGCCAGGTTCGTCAGTATAGGGCATGGATGCAGTACTAAGGAGGGAGGGAGTGGCCAAGTTTGTAGGAGGCGTTAGTTTCTTTGGGTAAAAAGAAATGTGGGAAGATGTCAGAGACCCAACTAGGGTCTTAAAGAATGGCACTGGGACAAGATATTGAAGGGGAGAGCAGAGAGCAGGAGACTGAACTGTTCACGTTAACTGTAACAATTCCCTAAATGTAATGGCTGAAGGTAATACAGCTGGCCTTACTGTGTTTGGCAAAGATATAGGCACGGTGGAGCTTGTTCACAGTGGTAGTCACATACATAGGCACACACATTCTGTACTTGACCTATCCAAAAGGTCCCAAAGCAAAGCTACACACTTTAGAAGCAATTCTGTTTTCTCTTCTTTTCTTTCTTCCTTTCCTTCCTTCCTTCCTTCCTTCCTTCCTTTCTTTCTTTCTTTCTTTCTTTCTTTCTTTCTTTCTTTCTTTCTTTCTTTCTTTCTTTCTTTCAGATAGAAATTCCACATCTTGGCATTTATGGATAAGAAGAAGTGAAGCAACTTCTTAGCAGTTTTGTTCATAACAGCCATAAACTATAAAGAACTTCAGTGATTGACCGCATAAATAACTGTAGTATAACTATTCAACAGAATGTTCTTTGGCAATAAAATGAAATGAGTCACTGAATCCGCAACTCGAATGTGCCTTACCAGAGTGATGCTAAGCGAAAGAAGCCAGGCATTGGAGAACAGATACCGAATGGCTCCCTTTAGGTGAACTCCAGCACATGACAAATCTCGTACAGTCGAAGCAGATCAGTTCTCCTGGGAATATGAAGGATGAGAAGGACAGCACAGGGGACCCTCTGCCGGGAAGTACGTCCCTTGATTCTGGCGACAGCTTTTCAGCTGTATGTATCTGTCACATGTAACACATTTTACTCTTCGAATATGTGAAACTCATCATATGCTTGTTTTGCCTCAATAAAGCTATTAGTTTTAATATCTGAGTGGCACATGGACATAAATGTCTGAAGCTCAGGAAAGAGATTTTTGTCTAGGACAGGGAGACCAGTATTTTAAATGTCCTCAGAATCATAGATAGTAATGAGGATAAGCGAGGGGGAAAGAATGCCGTGGCAAGACAGATAGAGAGAAGCAAAGACGGGATTTGGGAAGATGAGAGGAAAACACTGCGCAAAGCGGCAAAGTCTATGCATTTTGAAGCAGCCGGTCTTTCTGTTTTGTCATGCTTCGGTGTTCAGACAACCCATGCTACAGTCTTGGATTAAGTTCTCCAGGTTAGGAGTGTAGACTTCCTGTGTGCTCTCTGCCTCCATGCTGAACAGACCAATCTGCCAGATCAGGACATTAGTCTAGTCATGGCTGAAACACACTTCACTGAAAGGTGAAACCAAGAAGAAAATGCTTCCCTCTTTGGGGGGGTCAGAGATTTGTTGATTCAACCCCATTCCCTCTTTTTCACAAGACTCTGTGGCCTTGTGCTCAGTAGGAGGTGAGTGCATCCGGCTACTGTGCAGGGCTATGTTGTCTTTCTTTAAAACTGTTGCTGCCTTTTAAGCCATGGCTGTCCTAATCAGCAACTGCAACTCCCAGGCTACCAGCAGCCATTCGGCTGCAATGCCCGCAGCCTGAGGAGATTCTGTTCCCTCAGGTACTGACCCTTTCAAAACTATGAAGGGAACTTATCTAAATCTCTGTCCCTCTAAAGAAATCAAGATTCAAAGGTTGAGGTGGAATTCTGCTCCTCAGAGAGGTTGAACAGCAAGTAGCTCAACTCCTCCCTTTGCTCACGCCCTCCAAAAAGCCCCCATCCTTCTCCCAGCCCCCACTTAAAAGCCCTTCTCCACCTGGTTCCTCCCTACCACTTTCTGTCAGCTAGTTGCTGACGCAGTCTCCTGACCGCAGGTTAATTTTATTTAATCAATCAAATGTACCACATCTTTGCATCATTAAACAAATGTCCCAGAGCATAAAAAAAGTAACACACCTTAAAACAATATTCTACCACAGTGCTGGGTACAGTCTTCCTCACAGCAACTTGTGTCAGGCATACAGAGCGAGTTACGTTTGCTCCAAGCATGGTTCAAGTATGGGTCCATTGATCTGGCATTCCCAACCTACACAGCTAGTTGTGACATTCTCTTTATCACAAGGAGTGATTAACTTGGAGATGTGTGAACACAGAAATAAGGCTAGCGTTTGTCAGGTCTCATGTAACAGTTTAAGAAAAGAATGAATCAATAGTTTAAAGTAATTACTCTCTAGAGTTTATAGTCCAATGGTGATGCACTCAGGAACAGAAAACAAAACAAAACCACAGTAAGTGTTTGGTTTAAATGAGAACGGTCTCCATAGGCTCATATGTTTAAATACTTGATTCCCCCCTGGTGGAACTGCTTGGAAGGTTCAGAGGTGTGGATTTATTGGAGGAAATGTGTTACTTGGGGTAGGCTTTGAGGTTTCAAAAGCTGGTGCCATTCCCAGTTAGCTCTGTCTACCTCATGGTTGCATCTCAGATGTAAGCTCTCGGCTACTGCTCCAGCACCATGCCTGCCTGCCTGCTGTCATGCTGCTATGCCGATGGTCATGAACTATAACTCTCTGAAACCATGATCCCCAAAGAAACTCTTGTATAAGTTGCCTTGGTCATGGTGTCTTATCATAGCAGTAGGAAAGGCACTAAGACAGCAAGGTGCTTTCTAGAGTGACAAGCCTGGACAGAAGTATGAGAGCATTGGGCTAGCATAAGAACTGGCCTCAGACAGTGTGTCAGGGGTTGACCTCACTGCAAACAGAACCTTGAGTTTAGGCTTGAGTAGAGAAAGGTCATCATGCTGCTCCTGTGGGAGCACAGAGCTCCAGATAGTCATCCAGAAGAGGCAGCAGGGATGTATACAGAGGAAGTGAGTCCATGTCCTAGAAGGGTGGAGAGAGGATGAGAGGCTGAGATGGAGGCAAAGGTCAATGGCCACAATATCCTGCTTCGATGTTCTCTCAAGGCCAATTGATGGTCTGAATGGGGAGGTTTATAGTTATACTCCAGAAAATGATTTTGAACATCTGACCTCTGTGTGGGCTAAAGCTAGTAGCAGGGAAACCTGTCTGGGAAATGGCAGCCTAGAATAATGGAGCAGGTGAGTGGAGTAGACAGGACAAGAGAGTGATTCCCGGAGGAGCCTTCTCACTGATGGATTGCCTGGGGGCCCAAGGAACAGGGAGAGAGACCCCAGTAACTCCAACCTGGAATTTCAGGTTGTACAATCACAGGGTGGAGAAACTTTACTTCTAGCTGTGGGAATTTCACAGGAGAGGAATAGATGGGGACATGGGGTGACTAAGAGTTTGGCTGTTGATGAGCTCAATCGCTCTTTGAACACAAGACTTGCAGTCCCTCTAGCTGCTTTTCCGTTTTGTACCTGGGGTCAAGGGAACAATCAGAAAGCAGGTTTTCTTCTGCCTGCATTGATATCTAGGCAACGGGGGCTCAGCTGTCCACAACGGAAACGTCAAGAGTGGGAACAGGAGGCAAAGCAGAGTGGCTGGCATAGGAAAGGTGACATGGCCAGTGCCAGGGCAGGCAGATCATTGGGAAATGGGTAGGGTGGAGAGGGAGAGGGAGAGGGAGAGGCAGTGAGTCTGTAAGTACCAAAAAGAAACAGATACTTTGTTATCAAAATAGAGAAGCCATTTAAAAACAAGCAGACATCCCCAAACAACAAGGTTCTCGCTCCCCTTCTCCCCCTCCCCCGTCTCTCTGTGTATGTGTCTGTTGAGGAGACATCGCACCAAAGTATGTCTATAGACCATCAGTAATGGTATTAATACCATTAATTAATGTAGTCTTAGCAACTACAGATGTATGGAAGAGCCCCGGGGGCTAGTTAAGGCTGGCCTCTGATTAGATGAGCTGAGTTCAGAGCCGGCATTTCTCCCTGGTGACACTGCCCTTGTCCTTTGAGGTGAGCCCGACTGTAGGACACTTGGTCATGTCAGAGCAAGGTACGCTATTTGTTTCTAAGCCAGAGTCTCACAACTCAAACAATATGATTAGGTAGTCTCAGGAAATTCATGTCATTCTAGGGACAAGAAACTTTGGCGCCAAAGACAGAAGAAGAATAGGTGTGTGTGTGGGGGGGGGGGGGGGGCGGGCGGTGATTAGCAGTGTCGGGGGAGGTGGGGTTGTGGTTAGCAGTCATTTAAAAGCTTTCCCAGGGATGGAGAGTTAGCTCAGCAGGTAAAAGCACTGGTTGCTCTTGCAGAGAGGACCTAGGTTCAATTCCCAGGACCCACATGGCAGCTCACAACCACCTGTTAACTCCAGTCCCAGGGGAATCTGATACTCTCTTCTGACCTCTGAGCACACCAGGCAGGTACATGGTGCACAGAAATACATTTTTGGACCCAGCTGGGGAGGCGTCTCAGATAGAGAAATCCACTTTAAATGGGAAGCCTAGTGAGAAATATCTCCATGCTGCAGGGTTCTCTTTTGTGGTCTATTTCAAAGAAAACCAGGGGACCGTTTAGTCTCTCCAGCTGCTGTAAGCATCTTCTTTAACTACTTTTTGCTTTCCAAGCTACATCCCATAATTTAGATGAAACAATCCAAATCAAGCCTAACTGCCGTCTGCAACTCATAAACTAAAAGTAAGCAAACTTGGTTAGGCCAATGTCATGCGCTGCAGGTGCCGACGCCCAAACTTTGTGGTACATTTAAATCAGAACTGTGCAGTGTGATTTTTCCACCTTGCCCCTAAGCTTCCGTTGCTACACTTCCCTGCTCTTCCACATGCATGTTAGACACTATGGCTTCTTCATTTTTAATAAGTGACATACTAATTGGTTTTGCAAAAGGCGCTAGCAGATACATTTTAATGGACTGTTCTTAAAGATCTAGATCTCAGAAAAATGTCCCACACAATTACACTAGGAACTGAAGGAGACAACCCCCCTCCACATACACACACAGCAGGGCTGCCTCCTAGACCCCGAATTAGGCACAAACCACAACCAAACACCCGTTTTCACAGAGAGATCCTTTATTAAGTGGGGAAGAAAAGTTAAAGTGGCTGCTTTCTGACTCAGGCAGAAAACAGCAGTGGCAAGTGACCTTGCAGGTGTGATTTTTAAGCAGAGAAGAAGGGGAGGTCTGTGTTAGGAGGGGCTAGGCTGCAGTGGTAAAGGAGATTGGGGACGAGGGAGAAGGGGAAGGGGACAGGAAAGGGGCCAGGGGTGTTTACCCCAGAGGGACAAAGGACTGCCTCTGGACAGAGAGGAGACAGACATGGCACATGGGAAAATGTCGGTTTATAAAGATAAAGGGGAAACCCTGTGTTAGGGTGAGGTGTTTAATTTTAATTGGGCATGTTAATTAGGTCAGACAAAGGGGACTTTTGATTCCTGGACCTTGGTAGTCAGCCTCAGGAGGAGGAAGTGGCCAAATAAGGGAATGGATCTTGGTGGCTCACGTTAGAAATGTTATCTAATGGCTTTTAGCAAGGTAGAGGGAATGGATGAGGCCTGCCAGAGTGGGCTAGTGTCCCTTCAGGAATTTTTCTTCTAACTTTAGGAGCCATTGAAAAGCCTTCCCGGGCTGGGGAGTCAGCTCAGTGGTGAAAGCGCTGATTGCCCTTGTGTTTAGGACTAGAGTCCATTCCTATGACTGCTCTTGTGTTTAGGACTAGAGTTCATTCCCAGCACCCACATGGCAGCTCACAACCATCTGTAACTCCAGACCCAGAGAATCTGACACCCTCTTGTGACCTCTGAGGGTACCAGGCAGGCACATGATGCACAGAAATGCATGCAGGCATAACCAGCATACACATACAGTAATAAAATAAATGAATCTAAAACAATGTTTGTAAAAGCATTCTCAGGTCTATGGCATCCTTCAACCTCCTTCCAAAAAAGCAGTTTTGCTCACTCCCAGAGGCACTGTCCAATGAAACACTGACCTCCACAGGTTTGGGGGGCCCAGCTCCGGCCAGGAGCACAGGTTGAGAAGTCTCAGCAGCCGCCGTTTTTGTGGGGGTGGCACAGAGGCATCAGTTGGTTCATGCCGATGAAGAGAAGGTGAGGTACTGAAAGTGAAGAGTTGACGAGGGCCTGTGGCCAGCTGGCTTCAGCAGGGCTCTCTGTATCAGTGGGGCTCAACCTTCCTGGTGCTGCGACCCTTTAATACAGTTCCTCATGTTGTGGTGACCCCCAACCCAAAAACCATTTTCGTTGCTACTTCATAACTGTAGTGTTGCTACTGTTATGAATCATAATGTAAACGTCTGTGTTTTCCGATGGTTTTTGGAGAAAACCCCTGTGAAAGGCTCAACTGAGTCCCCAGCAGGTCGTGTCCCACAGGTTGAGAACCACTGCTCTATGGGGGTATCTCCACACTCACACTTCACTCTGAGATGTCTTGTTCATTGATGGCAAAGGAGGGCCACTGAGCAGAGAGTATCAGGACATTGACTTTTGAAACTCAAATTAAAAAAAAAATCAGTTATGGATCTAAGGTGCATGCCATCCCACCAAGCAGAGAAGCCGGTTTATAGCTACATTCTTGGTCCTAGGTCTCTACCTTCAGGGTTTGAAGCATGGACTAAATTTTCATGTTTCAGACTGTGGTTAAAAATTAAGACTGAATGCCACTAATACGTCCTAAGCAGCTCATAAAACAAGTGTATTCAGGAGGGCCCATGCTCACACCCAAGTATCATTCTAAGTGGCCCTCAAGCTGTTCCCAACCAAATGTTCTGCAAGCATTCTGAACAGATTAGTGGCAACATTTGGTGGTGGGCACAGGTAATTGTCTACTTACTGTTTTCCTAATCTGATTATTGTTTTCCCTTAGTTTAGCCTACCTGCTGTAATTGTGGTTAGCCTGTCAACAGGAATTATTTCATACTGTGTAAAAAAATTCAGTCGGGGCAGCATATGGTGCTATACAATTCACAGACTGGGGTAGATCAACTCAGGTGGAGTCTAGCAGACTGCCACCGGCTGATGCCACTGAGTCAGGAACCCCAATTAAGCAAATTGCCCAACAATGATCATTTGCTGGTAAACTAATATTTTTTTTTCTGTTTTCTATAAATACCCATATACACATTCACTTCTCTATTTTGGTAAAAGTAATAGCTACCCATGGAAAACTTGCAAGTGTTATGGAATACAAAGAAGAAAGTCAAAAAAAGGATGTGAAAGCCCCTTATCTAGAAATACCCCATATGTGTGTGTGTACACACACACACACACACACACACACACACACACACACACACACACACGGGTCTGAGGCGGTCCTCTGAACCATGATCACATTCTTAAAAGAAAATGATGTTCTCTCCCCTCAGAAGACATCAACTGCCAGCAGCTCCTCAGCTGGGGCTCACCAGAGCCTCCCCACTCCATACCTCCATACCAGCATATGGACTGACTTAATTATGCGCAGGTCTTGTGCAGGCAACCACAGCTGCTGTGAGGTATGAGTACTGTCAGGTATGGCTCCGTTGGGTCCAGAAGACACTGTCTTGCTCTGGTCCTCCCCAAGGTCTAGCTCTTACATCTCTCCTCGCTTTGGTGATGACAGTCTCTGAGCCTTCAATTTTATCAGCTGTAAAGAGAAATGAAATTATAAAATTTGCAGGTAAATGGAATGAAAATCATCAACATTATCCTGAGTGAAGAACCCAGACCCAGCAAAGACAAGGGCCCCATGTTCTCACTCGTATGTGGAGCCTTGTATTGAATCTTTGGATTTGAATGTTTAACCTGAAGCATCTGTCAGATGCAGGAAGTTGGGAAGGGACCGCTGATGGGAAGGGGAAGGTAGATCTTACAGAGCCTAAGGGGTAGTAGAGCACAGTAATAAGGAGGGGAAAGGGAGGATAATGGGGCAAGAGCTTTAAATGAGGAGAGGAGTGAGAGGGTAGTGCCGGCAGGGGGTGGGGAAGAAAGAGAAGTAACACTAAGGGTGTTTTAAAAGTCATATGGAAACCTGCTTGGTAAACTTCATATGTATATTATACATCATATAAAATAGTTTAACTGGGGCCTGGAGAGATGGCTCAATAGTTACAGCCCTGGCTGCTCTTCCAGAGGACCTGGATTCAATTCCAAGTACTCATGTGGCAGCTTGCAACTGTAACTCCAGCTTCAGGGCATGTGAAATCCTCTTTTGGCCTCTGTAGGCACCAGACATGCATGTGGTACAAAGACTTACATGTAGGCAAAACAGCCATACCCATTAAAAAATTTTATTTTTTTTAAAAACAGAGTAATTGGAGTTATTCTACACAAGGGAATAATGCTCCTCCCAGAAGTCAGACACAACAATCCAGTGTCAGGTGCAGGATATCTTCTCTTCAGTTTTGTGGGATTTCCCAGAGATCCCAAACAATACAGGATTTTTCCATTGTATCTGTTTGTCTGCTAGATAACCTGATGGTAAGACCCTATTCCTGAAGATATAGTTTTCTTATATGATATATGAATATGTTTAAATCAAAAATCTAAATTAAGGTAGATAAAATGATAACATATCAAAATTATTTTTCATATGGATTATTACATGACTGGTCAATGGTAGTTTGCCACCAAATGCCACTAAGAAGTCAGAAGTTACTCTTGCTTTTTTCTTACCCTTATTATTTGTTCAGAACTCATAAGGCTCTCTCTTCTTTTTTATCCTGAATTGCTTTGGTCATGAAGATAATTTTGTACTTATTTTTTTCTGGCTATAGTAATATGCAATATATACATACATACATACATACATACATACACACACATCAGATTTATTGTTACTACTAACATGGCCTTATTAAGCTTTTCCTGTGTTGTCTTGTTGAACATTCTAAGACTCCCTTTGTTTTACATCGCATATGAGAAATTGCAAAGCATATCAATTTAGAACATCAACACTAGAACATGTTTAAAACCCCATCTCTGTCATTTTTAAGTGGTCTTGGATAATTACTAAACTCCTTTATGTCCCTTTTTTCTCACTTATGAAATGAACTTATTTTCCCAGGGCCTTAAAAAGAGTAAAGCCAATACTGAAGCTGTACTGCTTCCTTTTCTTGTCGTCACAGAATACCTGA